TGGCGGGGTAGAAGGAAGGGGGAGGATAAAGAAGGCACGGGACTGGCTTTGGGGGGAGGGGGGTGGATGAGTGATACTAGCGGGGTTTCGGATTAGGGAATGGGAAGGAGGAAAAGGTTGGAGGGAGTGGGGGCCGCTGGCGGCGTTCTTCACTGCCCTACACTGGCTATGGCCAGATCCTAAACCTCAGTACTCAGGTCAGATACTATTGCTAAGGACGTTTATAAGTTTTGCACAGCCCATTGATTAAAATGGAGCCTGGTCTGGGCGGAGATACAGGTGAGACAAGGTCCCGGAGAGACTGAGGTCTACCAAAACGAATTCTTTTCCTCGTTCTTTTTCGCTTACTCTTTGGTCCAGTTCCCCCATTAAAGTCTGCTTTTTTGTTTTTTTTTTTTCTCCTTTGTAAAAAAATTACTTGCTAACCTCAGCCACTCAAACTGAGAACGCTTCCTTCCGTTTCCTTACTCTGGCAACCTTTTTATCTGCTGTCTTGTTTGTCTTCCTGTTAATGCTATTTGCCTATTTACCTGAAGAAGGTTCAATTGTATTGCAGATTTGCAGGTGTGATGTATGAATTTTGTTTTTCTCTTTAGAACTTTGTGCAGTTTAGTTTCACGGGGTGGGGGCGGGGGACGGGACACGACACTGGTGTCAGAGATCAAATTGCCCAAGCTCTTAAATTTGCTAAGCCAGAGGCCCAGAAAGAGGAAATAGCTGGCCCAGCAGGAGCAGAAAGGTTTTGTGGGTATTAACTCCTGTGTCTGATTGAATGCCAACCATCTTAGGTAGCAGTCTTTTCCCGAGCCTCCTTGCTCTTCTTGTGAGAAGAGAGTGCAGGATTTGGGTGGCTGGTGTTGTCTGGGCTCAAGCCCCTCCTGGGCTGTGTGGCACCCTGGGGATACCGTGATGGATCAGGCCATTAATGTGGCTTTGCCCAATTAGGCTTATAAGGTCTTTTCTTCTTTCATTTTTTTTTTTTTTGACCTCATGACACAGATCATGAATATTTGCATTTTAACCATTTCCACCAGTATAAGCATTCAAAGAAACAAGTCCAAATCATTCACTTCTGTCCCTCTGAATTCTGCCTTAAAAACACTCAGGAATTTCCCTTACAAGGGAAAAACTATCTTAGTTTTCAACTTTGAAAGCAGACTTTGATAGGGATCTTTCTAGAAAACTTTGAGATGCAAGAACTTTTTTTTTTTTTTTTTAACTTTTACAAAAACTTTGCTGGGAATTTCACACATGCATATAAGGTGTTTTGATCAAATACATGCCCACTCCCTCCCCTCCAACATTACCCCCTCTGAAGAGGTAACCCTAAAAATCTTTTAAGGGTTAGATATAAGCTTCCAAATACTTTTGACATTTTTGGCATTTGGAGCAGAGTATGTTGTTAACAGGACCAAGGACATTTTTACTTTTAGCCAAGAAACATGCTGCATTTCTTTGGGGCCTTTTTACCCTAACTGCCTAGCCAATTCCTACCTCCTATTCTTATCATGCCATCCTCTAAAAGGGTTACCCAAATTGCCAATAGGGAATAGGGACTCAGACCACTCTGGCTTCTTCCGTGTTAAACGGGCACAGGGCAAGGCAATTGGAGTACCCCTTCAGTGAGTTTATCTAAAAGACTCCCAAATTGCATAACTCTTGCTTCTAAGAGGGAAAGAAAGTCCTTGAATCATGAATAGGAAATGTGAAGGAGAAGTAAATACAAGAGTAATTAGCATTACAAGTTCTGAAAGTACTCTTTAATATAAGACCAACGTACAAGGGCCAAGGTGGGTGGAGCCAACACCTTTTATATTTTATAGACCTTTTGAGGATTAAAAGCTGACATTATACAATTAAACTAATACTGTTAATTTAAAAGGCCCTAGCAGACTAACATTGCCTTCAGAAATCTCAGGAAATATGTCACAGAAACATTTAAAATTTTACTAGATCATCTCTATCTTAGAGCCAAGTAGTGAATTTGGGAATCTCTTTGATTGGCATAATCAAAATGACACACTTAGTTGTGAAGGAAGTTTAAAACAAACTTTATTCAATGAAAGGCAAGTAGGGATTGTGGGGGGCCAATGAATTTATTTTAATGCTAGGAAATGGACATCTAGAGCTCTGAATCGCTTACATATGACCTTACCAGTAATAACATTCAACAAGAATCCTGAAACAGGTATCTGTGAGTTACAGTTCCCCAAAGTTGAGTATGTGTTGAGTGTTGTGGGATAAAAGTGAGTCTACATGCAAATTACAGTTTATCCCTAGGGCCCCGTAGTTATAGACAAGGAGGTTTCTGAGGGAGCCTAGCCAGGGTTCTCCACCTGTGGTTCCAGGATCAACAAACATCAGCATTTGGGGGGGAATTTCCTGAGTCTCACCTCATACCTACGGGATCAGATAATGTTGAGGTAGGTCCCAACCACGTGTGTCTTAACAGTATTTTAGGGGATATAATCAAACGTTTGAGAATCACTGGTTTAAGGAGTATTTGCAGGGACTCTCATACTCAAGTTTGAAGCCTGGCTGTGACACTCAAATTGTAAAACTGTAGTTGTTTCATTGCCTTTGGCTTTTTTTTGGTCTATGTAGTGCACATAGTTATACCTCATGTCTATTTTATTTGATTTTTCTTTTTAAAATAATTTTTAAATGATTTTTTATTTTTATTTTATATTATTATATATTATACAATATATTATATAATATTATACAATATATTATTTTATTTATATTATTATATAAAATATTATATAATATATAAAATATATTATTTTATATGTATGAGTATATTGCCTGTATGGAAGTGCACCCAAGTTGTGCAATGGCGGAGGTCAGAAGAGGGTGCCTGATTCATTTGGAAACTGAATTATGGATGGTTGTTAGCTGCCATGTGGGTGCTGGGCATTGAACCCAGGTCCTCTGTAAGAGCAACCAGTGCTCTAACCACTGAGCCATCTCTCCAGCCTTTGTCTGATATTTCAGTGACTAACTGAGTTAATAACAGATCTCCAGATACCAAACATTTATCACTGTATATATTTATTTTGTTTTGAAAGAAACGTTTTTAAAAAAGATTTTATTTTGTTGTTTGTTTTGCCTTGTGTTTTGAGGGAGGGTCTCACCAAGTAGCCCTGACTGGCCTGGAATACAACACAATATGTAGACCAAGCTGGCCTTGAACTCACAGAGATCCACCTACCTCTGCCTCCTGACTTCTGGGATTAAAAGTATGCCACTACACCCAGCCATTGTCTATCGTTAAAAACATTCTTATGCCAGGCATGGTGGTTTACACCTTTAATCTCATCCCAGCACTCTAGAGGTAGAGGCCAGCAGATCTTTGTGAATTCGAGGTCAGCCTGGTCTACATAGTGAGTTCCAGGTGGACTGGGGCTAGGGTGACCCTGTAAAAAACAAACAAAAATAAACCTAAAAAATGTCCTTTATCTTATTTTTTTGTGTAAGGAGATGACCCACAGAGGTCAAAGGACAATGAACAAGTTCACATCTTCAGAGTCAGTTCTCTCCTTATACCATGTGGGTCTGGGGATTGGATTTATATAGTCAAGTTTGGTGACAAGTGCCTTTACACACTGAGCCATTTCTCCAGCCTATCACTGTATGTATTTTTATCAGAAAATTTTTCCTTATGAGTTAGACTTCTAACTCTTGGTGCCCTAAATAATTCCTGGCACACAATAAGTGTTCATATAGTTGTTGAAAGTATGAATAATAGAGTGATTTTAACGTGATCAGTAGTTCATAGTATTCATGGTATTAACAAATAAATGTAATTTCATATTCTCTGCCTTGTGGATAATATTGTAATAGGACACATTCTTAACCAGAGCTATGCCATGTTAAAGTTTAGGCTGACTCGAGTCTCTGAAATTATCAGGCAGTTGGCCCAGAGTATGAGAACACATGTCAGCTAGACCCCAGTTGTCTTGGGAACAAGTCAGAGTGTTCCAGAGTGTACCTGCTAACTGCAGATTTATGGCTTCTGCAAGTTATGAGCGGTTTGCTTCTGTAAAATAGTAATTGTTTGCTTAAATAGAATAGAAATTGTTAAGAGAGCTCTCTACCTGTAAGCTTGGGAACTTAAACTTTTCACCCCTGGTTATGGTTTCTCTGTATAAAACTTACCCTAGAGATGGCTCAGGGCTACACACTTGGGTTCCAACACCCTTGTGTAGGAGCCCTGGCCAGTAACAACTTTCATTTGGCACAACTTTATCTGAGTGATCTTCTCTGGTGAAGCACCTCACAGTGTGAAAGGTACTGTCATGAAATTCATGTCAAATAAAGACCTTAGAAGCAGAGGGAAAACTCAACATATCAAAGCTGTATAACAGTATTTGGTATTATGCATACTTCTGACATTGGTAATAATAGCCATAATAGATTTTTTATTTAGCATGTTACATTTTACAAAGGTAATAAACATATTATCCCATTTAATGATCACATAATTCTATAAGGTAGTTTATTACCTAATTCTGTTTTATCCTTAATAAAGCTGAGGCTCAAAGGACTTATTAGGGACCAAAGTCTATAAAAGAAAATGTGTGAAGGGAAGTATAAAAAGAAAGCCTCAGACAACGAAGGTGACATCAGTGAAGAAGGAAAGATAGAGCATTAGAGA